AAATAGTGCTGATAGAAAGTCTGTTGAAGTTGTTACACTTTTGTACCAGGAGTTAAAAGAAATGAAACTTAATGTTCAGAAAAGAAAAATCTTTTTCAATAAGAATATATCTTTTGACTTTTTTGATTTTTTTCTGCTCCTTCATCTTTGCTAAGCACCACCTGAGCCATATTTGCTTTAATTGATGGTGGAATATTGTCATCAAATAAGGCAAGGTTGGAAAACTTCTTTGTATAAGCTTAACAGATTTGTGTATCATAAGCTTAACAGATTTTTGACTTTACATAAATTTAACAGATTTGTAGATATCTTGATAATCAGTTGACTCAAGATTAAGAAATTATAATATGGTACTTTAATTAATTGTGATGACAGAAACCAAACTTGAACATATATATGAGCAAGGAACATACTTGTTCTCCATAAAGAAGTTTTCTCTGTATAAGATAATTGTAACTGAATTTAAAATAGGTTTATCTTGAAGACATAAAAGTTGCCTTTATCATCTTGTTTTTCTCTAGGACTTCTTTCAATACATTTTATAAATTGCTAAATGAATTGTTTTCCTGCCTGCAGGAAAATAGCATCTCTAGTTTTAATCTTTTAAACTCTGGATATTGTCTTGACCCCTTGAAGACTCAAGATTTTGGGGTCTTTAATTAAAAAACTGCTGTTATTTTAAGTCCATGAACTCACAGACAATCAATATATTCAATAGATAGCTAAGTTAGCATCTGTTAAGGGATATGTCTCTAATTGCAATTTACTATGAGCAAAGAAAAAAGCCCTGATTTATTGAATAACACTAGTGTGGACAAATTTAAAAAGTAACTTTTAAAGTAAATTTAAAAAGTAACTTGTTTAAGATTGAGCTTATTTTAATCTAAAAAAGATGAGGGGAAGTGAAATGTGGGCCATTTAAAAAGCATAGAAAATAATGCTTTTACACATGCGCAACACAAAGTTTCAGACATTTTATCATATTATATGTGAAAATCTTCAGAATTTTAATGTATATTGTTAAATAGCATAAATCTAGTGAATTTTTCAATGAAGTTGAGGGAGAGTATTTGCATAATAGCAAAGACAGCAACGAGACATAGGCATAGCAAGAAAGTTGTTAAATAAATTAGGAGTAAAAACTGTGTGTGGTTTTAAAATGCTTTGAATTGTACAGCAAAGCCAATAAGAATCTTGAACCTGCTAAGGTGAGAAAGTGTATTGTGTATTCTGAGCATGAGAAGAAAAAAAAGAGCTATATCTTATACAGCTATATACAATTTTGCCTGTTGACAAATTACCATATTCTACATTAAACTTTCTAATACCAAACCAATTAGACACACAAAACTTCAAAACTTTCAAATAAATGGCTGAATTGACAGTTATAGCTTGTTGTCAAAGGTTATGTTAAAAATTATTGCTATATTAATTAGAAAATAGATCAATTTAGTTAACTCGATTGTAGTTAAAATCTTTTTAAAAAAATGGGTTTTACATTTATAACATAAATTAAGATATACGCAAACAGGAATATTTGACAGGCACCTGGAATAAGCTGTAAAAAAAAGCTGTTGTAAATAAGTTCATCCTTTTAATGAGGATAAGTTAATAGACTTTTTTTGGCAATTTAAATCTTGTTATAAAAGGTGTAAAACAGTACAACTGTCAGGGTTATTTGCACCATAAGTCATAATTGCTGGACATTCCTTAAAAAAAGATGAAATATATCAGAGATCAAAGCTTGGTGACCTGCGAATAATTGCCCTTTGTGTGCTGCAAACTGCATAACTCATGTTTCGTCTGAATCACCACATTTCAATTCTTGTGTTCTTTTGAAACTTTGAGTATTTTTATGAGAAAGGTGTAGGTTTAATGCAGAACAAATACATTAAAGAATAAAGTTCTTATCAAGGCATCTTTAAACTATGCAAGCATTAACATTCCCACTTTAGAGTAGTTAAATAAGAACGTGTGATCTCAAAATCTGTGTGTTTTTCACAGCTAAACAGTGTGACTATACTTTTTGTTTTGGTATTTGTAATTCTAGAACCTCCACAGGATTTTTCTGGACAATGCCATCTGTTGACTTAATGAGCTGAATAAATTCCCAAACAGTTGTCTTCTGCGTCTTTGAATGTGAAGCTGTCTCCCATTAAAAGTTGTGCTCTCAAAAGTGTTATCTTTTTCAAATATCATATTCACGTAAGTTAAATTCATAAATATCTTTTTTTACGTATAAAAAAAAAAAATTCTATGTAAATTTTTTACGTAATTATAACCAAAATTACTTTTCAAAGTAAATTACTTAACATGACTTATCATTAAAAGTATGCTACATTTACAAGTAAAAGTAAAAATGCAAATAACTTTTACTTAAAACTTAAAAATAATTTACATAAAAGTAAATTACTTTTTCAAGTAACAGTTACTCATTTAAAAAACTAAACTTAAGTAATTAAATTTTACAAATTATATAATTCATGTAAAAAAAATAATAATTACTTTTAAATGTAAGTAAATTATATATTTAAAAGCGAGTTAATTAAATCAATTTGTTTGTAAAAGTAATTCAAATTTTTACATGAAAATAAATAAATAAAAAAATGTATACACCATCACCCTTGTATGTGCACAGATGAGTTTAATAATCAATTTATACAAACTATACATGACAAGTTGTTTTGAGAAAATAAAAATATAATGACCTTAGGAGAATTTAACATTAGTCTGTTGAACTATGACTCTTGTAATAATGTATTAGATTTCATTTATTACCCAACCAACTCGAGAAAAACTCCAATCCAAAACACTAACAGATAATATATTTTTTAACTTTTACGACTAATTTTGTATCTGGCAAACTTACAGCATCTCTTGCTGACCATCTTATGCAGTTTATAGCTTTTGCTAGAAAGAATATTAAAGAAAAATATTTTGTCACTGTTTTAAATACTTTAATGAAAAGTTATTTCTTTTGGATCCTAAAGATGCTGAATGGCAATGAAACCTCCTCAAGGCCGAGAAGGCCACTACAAACGAGGAGGCTACTTATTTTGTGGCTATAACCCTCTCTCAACTCTATAACTCCGAAACACGAACCTTGACGAACAAGGCCGCTGCGCTGAGAAACGAGTTGAGCGCGGTACTACCAGGGATGTGGTGGGGATCGAACTCGGAACCACTCGTTTATGAAGCAAGCGCTCTACCACTACACCACTACCGCATATAAGATAAATATTTGTTTAGGAATGCTATTTTGTCCAGTGCCTTTCTAGTTGAAACCATTAAGTCAAATCACATCAGTATCAAATCACATATAGTATCAATAATTCTTTTTTAAAATTTCAAGAGATTATAAACAAAATACTTGATTATCATGCCCCTTTTAAATTATCTTCTAAGAATACAACTAAATCTATAGCGAAACCACGGATTACTTATGGCATCATTAATTTGATACATATTCACAAAAAATTTATAAAATGTGAAAATAAGAAATCAAAAGAAGAATACTTTCTAAATTTCAAATATTATTGGAATTAAATAAGCTACTTGTTGAAGTATTCAAAAAAATCTTATTACTCAAAATATTTCAATGAAAATCTTAGAAACGCCTGGATAGGAATAAAAAGATTTTTTGCTATAGAGCTAAACACCCACAATACCATAGAAAGTTTAACTATAAATAACTAAATTATAACTGATAATGATGTGATTACAAACTCGTTCAATGACTATTTTTCCACAATTACAGAAAATTTTTCCAAAACAATCATCTCTCCTAGACATAACTTTAATCACTACCTTAAAAACCTAATTCCTAACTCCTTCTATATAATCCCTGTTACACCCCTAGAAATAAATGATTATAAATCCAATATGAACCCTAGAAAGGCACTGGACAAAATAGCATTCCTAAACAAATATTTATCTTAGCATCAAAAGAATTAAGCTACCCTTTGAGCATTTAAATAAACAAATCATTTGAATCCAAATTTTATCTTAACTTATTTAATGTTGTGCCTTTAAAAAGGCACAACTTTAAATAAGTTTTAAAGGTGGATCTAAACTAGATCATTGTAACTATCATCCTATATCTTTACTTTCAAATAATGGCAAACTAATTAAAAGAATCATATTTTTAAATCAATCTAAAAGTCTCTATAGCCTTTAATTTGACTTCCACAAAAATCACTGTACAAATCAAGCACTCATTGATATAATTGAGACAACACATGAAGCTCTTGATCAAAAACAGTTTGCTGCTTAAGGGTCTGCGTCTGCTCGTATTCTCCTCTGGAAGTTCGTTATGAAACGGTAAAAAATGTGAGTATTCGTTTCGTTCTGTTTTTACAAAACAAAACATATCATTTTGTTTTGTATCGCATTTATACGAAACACGTAAATCTTGTTTCGTTTCGTATCATGTTGTTACGAAACGTGAAATTATTTTTTCGATTTGTACCGTTATTTACGAAACACAATAAAATTGTTTCGTTTATCGGTTTTTACAGAATATTTCATAACTCCCCGCCCAAACAGATATTTCACAATTCCTATGCCCTCGAGCAATACATAAACTTTTACGTTTAATACTTACTAACTCAATGTTACTAAATCAAAGTTTAACTAAAAAAATGTATTAACAAAGCAATGCAATAGCACCATTTTCATAAGGCTTAGCGCATCTAACAAAGTTAAAAAAAGATATTGTCTTCTGTAGGTAGGTTTTAGTAAAACTGATGAACTTAAAGTTAAAATTTCATTACAGTAAAACCGTTTTACTGTAATAAAATTTTAACTTTAAGTTCATCAGACATTAATTATGTATTTGTTTATAAACTCGCATGAAGAGTTTGAAATCATTGTTTGAATTAAATACTTCAAATTATATTATATAACATTTTAAATGCGATATTGTTGTGTTAACTTGAAATATTTTGCAAAACTAATTAATTTATTGTTTAAAAACCATAGTAATTCTCAATCATATAATCATGCCTATAAAAGCTACAATTTTATGGAATTATTTCAATAAAGTTACTGTGTCAGGTGTTAAATGTGGGGAATGTAAAAAGTGTCAAATCCAAATCAAGTTAACTGATGGATCCACTAGTGGTATCAGGTACCATCTGAAAACAAAGCATCCCACTGACTACGCTACGATGTTAAGAGCCCAAATTGAACTTGAGCGCCAAAGAGAAGAAGATATTAAAGAAATTACAGAAGCTGCCTTCGAACTGAATGACGCATACAGTAAGTTTCTAATTATTTTTCATAAAATAATGTTTTTCCTTGTATAAAGATAATTTTCATGTTTAACTTTAATTTTTATTTCGTTTTTTTAGATCAACGATCACAAAAAGGCTTATCTAAATGTGTTAATGGGGGAACTATTGGGAAATATTCTTCCCAATCAGGCAGGCAATTGGAGACAGACATGGTAATCATGTCATACATTGCCAGGTCAAGTAGTCCATTCACTCTAGTAGATGAACCATGCTTCAAAGAAATAGTGGAACATTTAAATCCAAAAGTAATTGTGAAACATTCCTCGACTTTTTCAAGGTACAAGCTGCCATTGCTTTATGAAAGCGTTATGGATACTGTGCAAAACCTAATTGAAAAAGAAGTTTCCACTTGTCAACAGGTGGCTATCACCACTGATGGTTGGACCTCTAGGTCACATGATCCATACATGACTCTTATGCTTCACTATATCAATAGTCAGTTTGAACTGAAAAAATATGTTCTCAACTTTGACAATTTCGTGGGAAGACACACTAGTTACCACATTAGCAAAGTAATTTTTTTTATGTTGATATAATTTGTTCTCGTAAATATAAATTTGTAAGTGCAAAAATAATTTAAAAAAGTAAAACTTATCCTTCTGCTAGAATAGCGTTTCTTCCAGGATTTTGTCAATTATTGAAAGAATTTATAATTTATTGTAAAACCTAAAAGCTGCATAAGTTATCTTATAAATCATTAATTTTTCTTCATTCTTGTTTAAGGCTCTGGAAGAAATGATCCAAAAATATCCGGTATTGGACGCCGTGCCCAAGAAAGTCATTGTCCACGATGCGGCGGCAAACATGAAACATGCTGTGTCAATCATGAAAAAAACAAAATATGAATCACTGTTGTGTGCAGACCACCTACTAAACACTAGCCTACTACATGCTACCAATGAAGTGCAAGAAGTCAAAGAATGCATAGATATTGCCACACAACTATCTAGCAAAGTCCACAGATCCACCTTAGCTTGTCAACTTATTGAAAAAGAGTGTATGTTGCTCCGTGTAAACTATGTTAAAATCATTGCTCCGGTAAAAACCAGGTGGAATTCTAACTGTTTTATGCTGGAGTCAATCCTTAAACTTAAAGATGTGTTGATTTTTCTTAGAGAAAAAGATGCACTAAATAACAACCCACTACAGAACGTTATTCCAAGTGACAACCAATTTTCACTGATGGCTTCACTGATGCCAGTCTTAAAAAAAATGAAGATTATGTCAGATTGCATGTCCAAGGACACTGAACCAGTGCTTCATCATATGCTAACTATGCTTTATAAAACTGACAATTTTCTTCATGACCACATTGATATGGAAAACAGAGAAATAGTTAATGCTTTTTGTAAAAAACTAAGTGAGCATTTACACCTAGCCACGCGATTCAATGAACATGGAAGATACAACCAACACTATGCCTTGGGAAACCTTCTTCATCCGTACTTTAGAGGTTATAAGTTTTATTTCTTGGTAAAAAAAACATTCTTTAATATTCTTTATTTGTTAAAAGACTAAATTTAACAGTTATTGTTTATGATTTCAGGATATATGCTTAGACATTACGGTATCTTCGAAGAGTTCACCAGAAAAGTCATCAACGATCATCCATTGTCGGACGCTGTTTCGATCAGTGAAAAAAATAATCATAAAGCTACACAAGTTAAAATGCCAGTTGGTGTGGATGAGTGCGACGATTTACAAAATATAGAGATTGAACAGGGTAATAATAACCACACCATTAGTCAAAATGTACCGGAAATTGAAAGGGAGTTTGAATCTTTCCACGCTATGCCTCGTGTTGAAGAAAAGCATTAAGTTGATGTGCTGAAATGGTGGAAGAAACATGCCTCTACTTTGCCATTGTTACCACAATTGGCAAGAAATTTGCTCTGCATTCCAGCTGCATCAAGCTGTAGTGAGAGAGTGTTCAGCGCCAGCGGTGGAATTATAAATGATAAAAGACACAGTCTTTCCACTCAGACAGCAAAGCAATTGACTTTGATTAAAGTCAATTATGATCTTGTCTGTCCTCACATGACCTTGAAAATTATAAGCGACGCTGAAGAAGCCCTGGACCCCCCAGCATTAACTCCAGTTAGAACACCTCCCAAAAATCCTATTCCTAAAGCAGTTTTTTCAAATAACCAAAAAAGGTTATTGTTCAAAACAAAAAACGTTTCAACAACGCCATTATGTTCTTCTTCTTTACCATCAACACCAACATCTTCAGGAATCAAAAGAAAAACAATGGAAATTCCAGAAGAATCCGAAACAACATCATCCGAAAAAACAACCGAAAGTGACACTCAACAAATATTAAAATTAAAATGTTTTCCTTTTTATTGTGAAATTTTAAAATCGTGAAATATAATTGTCTAAATAAAAACTGATTTTTCGTAAAAATCGCAAATGTGTGCTTAAATTGGTACAATATAAAAGTAAATTACTTTTTTATTTTATGCTAGCCCTATCTGTCGTAAAAACATTAGTATTTCTCGTAAAACTCAGAAATTTCTTGTTTGTTTGTTTCGTTTTTTACCGTTTTATTTCGGAAAAAGTTTAATCTTATTTCGTTTCGTACCGGTTTTTCAAAACAAAAAATGTGTCCCGTATTTATCACGAAACCAGAAAATTGTATTTCTTTTTGTACCGTTTTTTGCGAAAAAAGATAAAAATTGTTTCGTTTCGTAACGGTTTTATCGAAACGATATTTTTCATCGTTTTGTTTCGTTTCGTCTTGTACCGTTCTGAGACCCAGACCCTTATTGCTGCTAGAGTATTTGTTGATTTGCAGAAGGTGTTTGATACTGTTGATTGTAAAACTCTGCTGTCTAAATTAAATCATTACGGTATCAGAGGAGTTGCTCTTAAATAGTTTAAGTCATACCTCTATATACATTCTCAGTTTGTAAGCAATGGAAACACTTCATCCAATACTAACTTTAAATGTAATAGTGTTCCAAAGGGTTCAATCTTAGGTCCTCTGCTCTTCCTTGTTTATCAGGGTGTCCATTCGAAATTTAAAAAAATTCCAGCACTTATTACTTTATATAGATATGTTTTGCCAGGATTTTGGTCCTGAAATCCATATCTTTTTCCAGCATCAGTATTAGAAAAACACTTGAATTTCAGCACTAATTATATTTCTGAAGTGATACAAAAATTGTCTTAAAGACAACCACTGTACTTATAAACATAAAAATAAGTAATTTAAAACTCAATACTAAAGATTACATTAATTTGTGTACTAGAACTCAATAAAAAAAAAACTGTAATAAATGAAAAAGCCATTAAGACTATAAATACTATAATCAACACCATTGAGAATTATATAATCAGAAAAAAAGGACTTAAATAACACTTTTTTTTTTAATTTAACAAATTTCAGAATAACTAAAACAAATTAAACTTTTTATCTTAGTTAAGATTAATAAATTGCAAAATTTCTCAATAAATCACAAAATCAGAAAAATTTAAAGGAGAAACTTGAGATAATAATAACAATACTGAAATAAAATAAGTCATTTGTTAATAAAAACTAACTAAATTTTTTTTTCTCTTATTTTTAAGTTCTTCACTTTGTTTTTCTATAAACTCAACATATTGTTTAGTTTTTTTTTTCTGCAAATTCCACACACTCTGTAGTCTTGTTTTCTATAATTAAAATAGCTTTTTTTTGCAACCTTAACTTTTTGATTTAATTTATTGATGTCAGCTGTGAAATGCTTTGCTTTTTGTTCTTGCTCTGTTTTCTATTTCTCTTTAGCATTAATCAACTCAATTATATTTTTGATGGGTTGATAGAAAAGCTTTGACCAATGGTGCTGCAATTTGGACAGCGTGGTTTTAAATGATCGGCAATTAGATGGTCCTTTACAATTCTCCAGGAGATAATACTTAAAGGTGTAATGTTCGCTTTAACAGAAGAGTTGTTTATGCTAAAACTGTGCTTAACAGCAGTCAAACCATGACTAAGAATCAAAACTAATTTAATGACAATTCAAACTTTTAAACTAAAATAAAGACAATTCAAATTTTTAAACTGCCAAATAATTTCAGCCTCAGTAACATCTATTTTTTTGACACAAGTCTTTTTTTAAGAGAATTTTTCTGTAATTGACTCATTAGAGTTAAAAATGAAATAGTAAAAAACTTTCCTCTTTTGGTTTTGCAAATCCTTTCACTTTTCTTAATTTTATATTGTGCTTTGCTTTTTTTTGTCTGATCTGTCAAGACAGAGCCCCCACTTGAAGAGAGTTCTATTAACCTAAGGCAAACCAGACATATTGCTTTAGTATCATTTTTAAGATCTTTCTTTAGCCAATCTTTGAAGTTATCATTGCTCAACCGGTCTTCTTTAACACGTTCACGCTGGCGTGTACCACTGGTGGTACACACTAGACTGTCTAATTGGGCAGCGTGTACCACTGGTGGTACACACTAGACTGTCTCATTGGGCGACATGTACCACCGGTGGTACACCTCGCCCAATGAGACAGTCTAGTGTGTACCACCAGTGGTACACGCCGCCCAATGAGACAGTCTAGTGTGTACCACCAGTAGTACACGCCGGCGTGAACGTGTTAAATTGTCTTTGATGCTTTACTTTTTAAACTAATTTCATATTTATACTAACTTATTATACTAATTTATAATAACAATACTAACCTAAATTAAAAAAATAAAACTTTAAAAGGAATATTGTTATAAATATTGTTAGTAAAATTTAAAATAACCTTCAAAAATCAATAACTAAACATAAATTAAGGTATTAAACAGCAATTTGAAAAAAACTCTAGTTTATCCAGCATCAATGTTGCTTAATGCATTAATTTTCCAATATTTCTAGCATATTTTTTAAAAACAACTTTTTTCCAGTTTTTCAAGCAGAGTGGACACCCTGTTTATACAAAATGATCTGAACATCTGTCAAACTCTTCTTATGGGTAGTAAATCTCTTAAAAAACTAAATAAAATCTTAATCATGATCTTACATGTTTGGTTCAATGATTACAATCAAATAAAAATTCCTTAAATACCAAGAAGTCTGAAATAAGTATATATAAATAAAATAATAAAATTTCCTTAAATACCAAGAAGTCTGAAATAGTTATCTTTAATTTTCAAGACAACAAAACTACAAAAAAATGTAGGTACGCAGAAATTGCGATTTACAGAACCGATTTTTGTGCTAAAATTTTGTGACTCGTTTTTTTAATTTTTTTTTAGGTAGCGTTAGGCAAATGTATTTTTGTGAAGTTTCTTTTTAGAAACATATATACACATAGATACTTTTTTGAAAGAAGAAAGGTTAATCTTGATTTTGATAACTTTTATGTATGGTTACTAAATTTTTTTATGGATTATTTTGGTTCTGAAAAATAGGTTGATGTTCTTACATGAATTTGTAGTCAAAGGAATATTGATCCCAGTCTGTTTATTATTCAAACAAATTTCTGCATGCAATTTCTAATGCAAATATCAAATTTGAACAGAAAAAAAAGGGGAGCCGATAGGTTTCAAAAGGTTCTACTGTGCATACTGCATTTTTTCGGTAGTTTTAGTAAAACATACTTTTGTGGTATTTTTTTTAAGAAAAATATACAAAGATTTGTTTTTGAAAGAAGAAAGGTTAAGCGTGGTTTCTATATAACTGTTATGTATGGTTACTAAACTCCTTTATGGGTTATTTTGTTTCCAACTTTGCATAAAAATTTAGACGATGTTCTCACTTGAATATGTAGTAGAAGGAATGTTGATCCCGCTCTATTTATTATTTAAACAATTTTCTACATGCATTTTCTATGTACATGCCAAATTTCAACGAAAACAAAAAGCGAGCAGACAGTATACTAAGCGTAACCTTTTTGGTACCTAATTTCTGTTTTTCTGATTTTTTTCGGTTATAGCAAAATACGGACATGGCTAGTCAATTGCAAAACAATTGTTATGCTGAATGTTGAACTCGGATTTTTATTATTAAATAATAAAATGAAAAAAATTAATGAAGTTTTGTTGTAATTTTTAACAACTAGTAAGTTATTTTTTTTATATATGTTTTGTTATATTGGGGAAGTTTGAATTTTCTTAATTGGAATATGAAATTAATGTAAAAATGCTCAAAGTTAAAACCTGGACTGTTGAACGATACAAGTTCAAATCCCGTCACCGCCAACTCAGCGCTTGAGTAGTACTTCGGTACGCAAAAATGTTGGTCAATAACGGACGCTACTTTGGATTAGTCTTAATGACTATTTGTGGCTGTTACTATGCTAAGCCAACAATATCTTTGGATATAAGAACATTGTATAAAAAAATATAGCATGAAAACTCAAATAAATAAATAAAAAAAAAAAAAAAAGTATAGCAAGTTTTGTAACCAGCAAAATAAGTAACACAAATTTTATAGCTTGCAAATAGATTTTGCAAGTTTTGTGGCTTGCAAATAGATACAGCAAGTTTTGTGGCTTGCAAATATGGTACTGCAAGTTTTGTGGCTTGCAAATTGGTAATTAGCTCTGGCTTACCTTTACATGGTGTCTATTGTTTAAAAATTATTCATTTTGTTTCATTGATGTAATTTAAAAATTAAATTATTTACTAGAAGCCCAGAAAAGAAGTAATTACATTTTTTATTTCAAAAAACTTTTTTTTTTGTGTGTGTGTTTTTTTCTCAGGTTGGAGTGGTCAATCTGTTCCTTTACATGATAATGTATACTCAGATGCCTTTTGTAATGTGGTAAAATATTTTTTTATTCTAATTTCTTTTTTTAAAAAAAAGTATTTCAACACTTCTTTGTTGAATTGTATTTAAA